AGATAGACAGCGTGGTTAGAACAGGAGCGAGATATACGCGTGTTTTGAACGGTGTCGATGAACTATTGACTCGTCGTCCCGGAGAATATATTTAAATTAACGATGATTCCGGAACATACCATCCGTCTCGGATGCTGGCATTCGAAATAATTAGCATTAAAGCACGCAAGATACAATCATGGTATAACGACGAAAATGGTTTCATACAGAATATAAACATCGTGACGCAATACAATTAAACTTAAGGTTCAGGATACAGGTAACATCAGATACTTTCAGTGAAAACTCCGCCCGCCGTGATGGAATCTTTTGAATCTTCGATATTGATCGTAACGGATAGAAAACAGAGTTTCTCAATCGATCGCTTATATTCGGAACGTCATGTTTTTACCATTACGACGCGAGTTAAATTGTCATCGTCGGGATGACACGCCGTAATTCGGCCAAGTTCCCATTGACTCGGTGGAGCCGGAGGGTTACGCACGAGGACGATTTGGCCAACTTTGGGCAGTCGCTGGACCACGCGTCATTTTGGGTGTTGTTGAAGGGTATGCAAGTAATCCCCAGACCAAGACCTCCAAAAACCTTCGGTTATTTGTTGGACCATTTGCCAACGCGAAAGTCGGTTTTCGTTAAGGTCAAGCACACTTGGTTCGGTGGGAACGGTAAGAGAGGTTCCAATCAAAAAATGACCGGGAATCAGAGCGTGATAGTCGTCGAGATTATCGGACACGGGAGCGATCGGACGCGAATTAAGGCACGCCTCGACTTGACAGAGTAGCGTAGATATTTCTTCAAAAGTTAGCGTGTGGAGGCCGATGCATCGTTTTAAATGATGTTTAACACTTTTAACGCCGGCTTCCTACAGGCCATCGAAGTGCGGCGACGCAGGGGGTAGGAAGTACCACGCGGTTCCATCGTAAGCGAGTCGGTTGCGGAAATTAGGATCGCGTATTGCTGCGGCATGTGCATTTGACAATTCGCGATCGGCGCCATGAAATATGGTTCCGTTGTCAGAGTACATGGACGTCGGTAATCCTCGACGAGAAACGAATCGTTGATACGCTGCGATAAATGTAGGAGAGATGTAATCGCTGACGAGCTCTAAGTGCAGAGCTTTGATCGTGAGGCATACGAATAAAGCTATATAGGCCTTTTGCGATTTATGCCCTCGACCGGGCGCCGTGCGGACAGCGATCGGACCTGTGTAATCGACGCCGGTATGGATAAAGGCTCGAACGGTGCGGTTGACTCTCGCAGCCGGGAGGTCACCCATGAGTTCGACGGGTATGTCGGAGCGTTCACGTGTGCAAGGTATACACTTATAAAGGACGGATTGAACGGTGGCGCGAGCCCGGAGAATCCAAAATTCGTTTTGCAATGACGCGAGCTTTAATTGAGAACCAGCATGCAACGTTCTCAGATGATGACGCTGGATAATGAGTATCAATAGCGGATGCGCGCGAAATACGATGGGATTCCTCGTTGCTCCTGGGAGGCAAGCTCGACGGAGTCTTCCTCGAATACGAATGAGTCCATCCTCGTCCTTATGCGGATTGAGAACAGAGAGCGGGATGCTCTTCGGTACCGAGCGCTTTTGGTTCAGAACAACGATCTCGTTAGAAAACATGTCTGACTATAAGTTTTGAGCGTTTTGCGTTCTGAATTTCTTCGGAGAGCAAAGTCGCGGTAGCTGTTGGCGGATTTTTAGAGCGTCGGAATCGATTTAGAAAGCGGTACAGGTAAGTGGTAATTCGTAGCAGTTGTGGCCACGAAGAGTAACGCGACGCGAGGTCCCAATTGGGCGTAGCGTGCAAGGCACATCCCGGTGGTTCCGGGCGTTGTTCGAGAGGAATCTCGGTGGGTACCAGAGGGCATGAGTTCGGCCAGGATTCGGGAGGGTGATGTAGCCATAGAGGGCCTGACCACCATAAGGCATGGGTTTTGAAATGGTAGAGAGCGAGACCGCATGAAGCGAAGTCCGCGGGATTGGTGTGCGTCGAAACATAACGCCAAGAAACTCCAGGGAGGAGGGTTTGCACAGCCGAAACACGATTGGCGACAAAGGTTTTCCCATCGGGAAGGGGATTGACTCAGCCAGGCGAGTGTAATGGTGAAGTCCGTTCAGTAGTGGCACTCGAGATTCGAGAGTTGGAGCACTGATCGCGCGAAATGCATCAAACGAGCGAGACGCAACGCAGCGGATAACTCCAATCGCGGGACGCTTATCGTTTTAAGAGGGTACACTTTTGATTTGGCGGCGAGAAGAGAGATGGGGATTGAACCGTTTATGTTGACGGTACGAAAGCCGCAGTCGAGGCGTCCGAAAATTCATGAAGGGCGTACTGTAAAGTATGAGATCCGTAAGTTGTCCAGCACGGAATGCTAATGGCGTTGAGAAACGGAAGTTGTTGATGGTAGTCGGACCAATAATCAAGAAGTTGACTGGGAATTTCGTCATCCCACTGACATTGAAGTGACCACAGTCGCTGCATAAAAATTTTGGCGGTAATACTGACGGGAGTAGCCCATCCTAAATGATCGACAAACTTGGCGATGGTCGACAAAATGACTCGTTTGGTTCGTCCGGGTGATGCCGGTACGGTAAAGTGGAATTGAAAAATATCTCATTTCGGATTTCAAAGGATTCCTAAGACCTTAAGGTGCTCGTCGTCTTGAAGAACCTTATGAGTTAAACCATGATCTGCGGGATCGAGATCCGACAATAAAGCGGTGGCGTTGCTTGCCCATTTTCGAAGGCGAAAGCCTTTTTTCTTTAGTAACTCTATCAAGTGATCGCGAGTTTGACGAGCAAGAATTTGATCGTCTACGCCGAAAGCGCAATCGTCAACATACGTCTGATGACGTAAAACGGGAACTGCGAGAGGAAACTCGGCACCGTCATCTTCGACGAGCTGATCTAAAACCCGAAGGGTTAAGTAGGAAGCAGCGGCTGTACCGTAGGTAACGGTGAGGTACCCAGTTGGACACGGCTCAATTGGACACGAGCCACTCACAGCGCTTGAGACTAC